GGGCATGTTGCAAGGAAGAACCAGTCTTTGGAAAGGGATATTGTGCTTGGAAGAGTGGAGAGACAGTACAAGAGAATAAGACCCTTGATGAGATAAATTGACTCAGTGACTAGGGTAAATGGAAGTAGATATGTCAGACAATGAAGTTGGCTCAAGATAGAGCAGGGTTCAGAGCTGTTGTACAGAGTCCCTCTGAGTCATAAGCAACTTGATGGCACATAACAACAGTATCTACATTATGTGGTTTACTTCTCTTCCCTCTTTATCCTGTGCTGGTATATATAAAAAAAAACCCCACAAGTTGCACTGAGAAAGATAGATGAGAGCCTTGGAAATCGCTCCACTCTGTCCAGTGTAGGGTCACTATTGATTGATTACAGTGACAGCAGTGAGGTTGGATTTTTGCTTTTAATGTGTGAATGATAAAACCCAACTTGAGACTACTAGATCATGTCTTTTGGAAATTTTGAAGATAGTCTGAAAGTGACTGGTGGTGATAATTTGTATAATTCTGAACATATATATATACAAACCACTGAGTTATACATTTTTAAAGTGTGGATTTTGTGGTATGCAAATTAACTATAAAATAGCTTCTTTGGCATATTTTGAATTTGACAATTGTTTCTTTCTCAAAAATGTGTTTAAAATATTCCCTATGAGGTGGATTGATTCAGTGACTGATTGGCACAGGATAGAGCAGGGTTTAGGGCTGTTGTACACAGTGTCGCTATGAGTCGCAAACGACTTGACGGCACATAACAACAACAACAAAAACAACATATGCCATATCTTAAATTATTTAAAGTAATTTCAGTCTTTGTTCTCTTGGACTTACTCTCCATATTTTATGTCCTTTAGGGAAGATTACTTTACAAAAAAGAATGAAGAAAGAAAACAAAATAAAATGGAAGCTAAATTAAGAGCTAAACAGTAAGTATTATCAGCATATTGAATTAGTCCTATTTCAGTTCCTTAGAGCTTTATGAATTTTTAAATTAGTATCTTAAATTGTCTTGGTAATTTTGAAGCCCTGTTTTGTTGCATTGGGCAGTAAGGAAACCTGAGGACTGAACTTTGACTAGTAAGAATTTTAGTTACTATAGTCACGGTTAACTTTATTAGGATTTCATTCTTTATAAAGTAAATGAAACATTTTCTCACGAAAGTTTTTATTTGTAGGGAGCAAGAACAAAAACAGAAGTTGGCAGAAGATGCTGAGTTGGTAAGAATTATTATTAGTATCGAAGAAATTTGAAACTCATAAACAAACCTATAGTTGTCGCTACACTAAAGTTATATATAAAGAACACTGCTTAAAATACTCATGGAGAGCGAGTGTAATAACCAGATTTGGACAGTTTGTAACTCACAGAAGAAGTAAATACTTAGTGAGCCATAGAAGAGAAAATGCATGTAACTGATAAAACTAAATTGCCATTTTAATTTCTAGCCTTTTCTTTTTATATGGATAGACTGCTAAGTAATTTCTGATTTTATTTACTCTTAAGAAAATATTTCTATTGTCTTATTTTTTTTTTTGTAGAAATCTCTAAAAGAAAAGATTGGCTGCTTGCTGAAATTTTCGGGTGACTTAGATGATCAAACCTGTAGAGAAGATTTGCACATCCTTTTCTCAAATCATGGAGAAATAAAATGGATAGACTTTGTCAGAGGAGCAAAAGAGGTCTGGAAACAATCTTTTTTGTAGCATTTCTTTTCTAGTTGTTCATTAAAACTTGGTAATGTTGAAGGAGCTTTACAGACTAGGAAAAACGAAGACATTCACTTCAGGACTAAACTGAGGATGTGCCTTTCATTGTCTTTCTTTGGTGTAGGGAGTAATTCTGTTTCAAGAAAAAGCTAATGAAGT